GGAGGAGGAGGAGGAGGGCGGGGACGACCTGCTGGCCGCGGTGGAGGAGGCGCGGCGCGCGGCGGCGGCCGCCAAGGCTGCGGCGAGGGGCAAGGGCGGCGCGGGCCGCGGCGTTGCCAGCAGGGCCGTGGGCATCGGCGGCGGCGGCGGCGGCGGGCGTGATGGCTTCAGCGATGACGATGACGAGGACGCTGACGAGGCGCTGGTTGACCTGGCGCTGGAGGAGATGCTGGAGGCCGCGGGGGGCGGCAGCGGCAGCGACGACTTTGGGGTGCACGACGACTACGAGGGGTGACCAAGGGACGCGCTTTGGCGAGCCCCCGGCTGAAGCAAGGTTTGCCCGCGGCGCCTGGGTCTGTTGTGTCTGCTATGCTTTCCGACGGCTGTTGCTTTGTTGAGGCGGGAGTGGTGTGATGTGTCAGTTGACGCACACGCGTGGTTCTTGGCGGGTTGGTTGGCCGCCGGCCTGCCATGTTGTTTAATTGGTGTCGCAATTTCGTTCTGGTTGCTGCAGCTTTGGTCGTGCCGCCCACCACCGGACACACAAGTAACCGCCACAACATGCTTTGAGCTACTGTGGCGAAATCATTGTGGGTGGGGGGTCGCGGCGGCATAGCTCTCAAGGCCCGCTTGATGAGCAGCACAGGCGTTTGCACAACCAGGACCACCCAACCATTCGTGAGGCCAAGGTCCACTTTGGAGAGTGTATATGATAGATCGACCTAGTCAAGTGTTGGTGCATGCACGCTGCATCTAGTAGGCCCCATGAGCGGCTGAACGGCCCCTCGCAGATGAGCCAGGCCCTGGCAGTGCCGGGGGTGACGACGCATGCCTGCTGGTGACGAAGGACGGGCAAAGGCTACCGTATCTGCATGGGCCTGCGCTCACGCACTGTGACCATCAAACATAGGCTTTTCTTGTTCGCGGCAAGAAGTACACCCCACAAAGCTTGCGGGTGTACCGTATTAGATCGCGAGTCGACATCTGAAATACGTCAAGAGCTGCGTTCTGATCACATGGGTAATTGCGTGACATGTGTGTTGGCTGCAGCCCTCGCTCTGCTCAGTGCGCGACACACATGCCCGCACCTTCGCTGGGCTTGCTGCTATCACGCGGGCGCCGCTCTCCACTGGGCAAGCACCACAAGCGAACCAGCTTGTGTGTGCGTGAGGAGGACGAAGTCAAGCTATGCATTCTTGTATGTGCACTGAGCTCAGTTTGTCCTCCGTGGATGGCCTGCACTCCCCCCAGGAAGATGTCGTCAGCAATGACAGCAGCAGCGGGGTCAACCAGCGACGCTTGCGATGCGGCGTCCCCTCCGCAGTCGCTGCTAGAGGGCCTGCCGCTCACCGTGCTGGCGGCCGTGCTGGAGGCAGTGATTCAGCGCAGCAGCCCGGGCAGCGCGGTGGCGCTCGCACTGGTGAGGCGGCCGCGCACGCTCGCTGCAATGCTCTTACAGTAGCTGGTTGAGGCACGCACAGGGCACCCACCACCCAGCCTGCTGTGATGCAGAGTGTTGCCATCCCATGGTCTTGTTACATGACGCCACCTGCATAGCGTCTGACACTTGTTCCCCTCCTCAGCACCACGCGGACCACCCCACAAACCAACCCCTGCCGCCGCGCAGACCTGCCGCTCAATGCTGGCGGGCGTGGCTGCTTGCGGCGGCGTGTGGCAGCGGCAGTGCGGCCAGCTCGGATGGGACGACGGCGTCCGCCGCGCAGACGCTTTCTCTGTGTACAGCGCGCGCATGCGGGCGCGCACGCGGGTGCGGCTCCAAGTTAGGGTGCTGCTGTCCTATCTGCCGCGCCGCACGGCGGCGGCGTTCGAGCCCGGCGCGGCGCCGCAGCGGCTGGCGGCGGCGGAGGTGCGGCTGGGCGTGTCGCTGCCGTGGGAGGTGAGTAGACGTGAAGCCCTTTTCTGTGGCATGGAGGTGGTGGGGCCTGTGGTAAAAGCATGTTTGCCCCTTGGCCTAATTGCAGCTGGAGCGGCCCCGCTGCGCTCCCTACCTTTGCACTGTGCCTTCTGCCCAGATGTGTACCAAAGTTGATGTGGTTTAGGGCAACGCGACTGCCACAAGGCCCCCTTGAGGGCTCATGTGCGAAATTTATATAGCATTCCAACTACTCTTGTTGGGTTTGCAATCCACCCTCCTCACCCACGCCGTCACCTCGGGCCAACCCCGTGGCCTCCACGCCCAGCTGTGGGAGCTGCTGCGGTTCCGCAACGGCCAAGCCCCCGGCCCAGGGGCGGCCCTCATCGATGACGCGCGGCTGCTGGGTGGGTGAGAGGCGGGGGCGCTGGGCTGAGAGATGCCGGGGCTGTGCGTGTGGTCCGTCTTGGACACAGCAATCTTGTGGGCACTGGCGGTCCGCATCACTGCCTTCCCTGAGCTATCCCTGTGCTGTGGAGTTGCTGCAACCTCGCAAAATCTCACTTTCCTGCTTTTGTTCATGCGCAATTCGCTCCCTCAACGCGTGCCGCTGCCTGCCTCAGGGGCGGACGAGCTGTTTGTCGAATCAAGGGAGCTGCCGGCCCTCAGCCTGGCGCCAGAACGCCCTGCGGCGTCGCGGCCGCAGCCGTCGCCGCCGTTACCACCCCCAGCCCTGCCGCCATCACAACAGCATCATCTTGCAGTTGACGGAGCCGCCTCAAAATCCGCGGCGTCGCCCGCGCAGCCAGGCTACATGGAGAGCGGGGTCTCAGGCACGCCCATGGGGCATGATGGTGGGCCCACACTTATTGAACACAGAGGCAGGGAAGGCGAGCCCACCAGCGCAGGTGGAGCCGTCCCGCCAGCGCCGCATATGTGGACCCACGCAGCGACGCGGCTCGTGGTGTTTGCGAACAACGCTGGGGGCAGCCGGATGTACGGGGTGGCGCCGGACGGGCGTGTTTATGTGCTGCGGGGGCTGCTGACAACGCGGCCGGTCGCAGGCAGCGTGCTGGCCTTCTTGCAGCACCTGCTGGTATGACCTGGGTGCTAGTGCAGCGGAACACCTGCAAATCGACATGCATCATCACGAAACAAGCACATCCTGCACTTGGCGCGGGTGCCACGTTGCCCTGCACACTGTAACATGTGTGAGTGCGTAATAGTCAGCCACATGTACATGTACAACTGACGATTCACGAGTCGGTGGTGCTGCCAGGGGGAGAACGGTCAAAGGGCTCAGGTGCGGTTGGCCTACAAGGGCAAATCTGGAGCCCCAGCAGGGATCCAGATATGGGGGGAGTCCAGCCTTTCCTGGAGCCGGCCACCCATGAGGTTGACCGTCCATGTCTGTGTGTGGAATTTGATGCTTTGCATGGGGCGCAGGTGCACGCTTGTATCAGGGCCACGCAGGCAGTGCAGCCGAGCAGGGGCTCGGCGCAGTTGTGATCAGCTCCGCACTGCGCATTGATGGGCGACGCAGGTAGGTGGACGTGCTCGACGCTGCGGCTCTTGATAGTAATTTGTTGGGGGCTTTGCCGCTTTTCTGGCTCGACTACGGTGGGCGCACGGGCCTCACATGGCCCACGGGGTATGATGAGTAACGAGCAGCTCGGGCGCCAAAACGGGCCTCCTGCTACACGGTAGTTCATACGTGTAGGCCAACGTCGACCCAATTGTTTTCGGCGTCCTTATCGCGAGCGTGCACAACCGCGCTAGCCCACGGGCCTAACCAGAGCTCTTTCGAGCCACACTCTGCGCAGGCTAGGCGGCCATGCAGCCGAGAACACTGTCAAGGACATTTCGGGCATCTTCTAGGGTCTCCTGCAGGCCAGGGCGGGCCTGCCGGCCAGGCGCGCCGCGCTGTGTTGCGCCCTCCCAGGAGCCCGGCCTCGAGCGGCAAACGCCTAGCCTGCAGAGCATCCAGGACGGCGGCTCCCTTGACGATGGCTACCAGTCGCCAGTGCTCTCTCTGGACTGGAGCGACCCACGGTCAGCCAGCGGTGGTGCAGCCGCCGTGGCCGACCCTCTGGACCTAGGTGAGCCCACCACAACTCTCGAGGCGACGACGCCTCCCTCGCCAATGCTGCGCTCGCACGCCATCTGCAACTTTTGTTTTTCGAAAACGCAGATCGTGATGCGCGTGGCGGTGCCCTATGCCCCGGTCTCGCACTGTGGTGCGCGTTAAGACCCTTCATGACAACCACCACCCATTCACCCCCGACCCAGCTTCACACCTTTTCGCACCGCCCCACCACCCCCAAGAGCCCGTGTTTGACGTCTGCGGTGTGGGCCAGTGCCTCATCGATGTCAATGTCAACGTGTCCAGGGACATGCTGGCGGCCCTCAACGTGCCGCACGGCGGGCGCAGGCGCGCGCGAAGCAAGCGCGCGGGGCAGTGAGCGCGATGCACGTGACGCACAAAGCCAGTGGGCTGCATAGTAGCCGGGCGGCGCCCTTCGCCGTGGCCGTGTGCCTACCACCTCAGAAAACTCCGGCATGGCTATAAAGCCGTGTATTTTGAATCAAGCTGCAGCCCGCAGTTGGGACCCAGAGCCCTTCCCCTATCATAGGCCGATGCCGTGCTGTCTTTGCCCCTCCAAAACACTGTACACACCCTCCAGCCCCTCTTCTTACTCCCTTCACCCCACCCTCATGTTCCCCGCCGCCCGCCATCGCACCTGGGCCCCCTTCAATCCGCCCCCACCCCAGGGTGATTGGTGTGGGTGAGCGTGACGCCCTGCTGCGCCAGCTGGAGCAGGTGCCCAGCGCCATGGGGGCGGAGGGCGCGTCCAGCCTGTCCATGTTCAACCTCAACAACGTGAGCTGAGGTGGCGGGGTAACTTGAGTTTTGGGAGGCGGGAGACAGCGCGTTGGCATCGCACCATGTATGTGGAGTGCATTTGTGTAGGCGCAGGCGGTTGTGCTGCGGCCCACTGCGAGGCAACGCCTTGGAGGGCGCAGTGTGTGAATGCTGGGGTGTTGGTTGTTGCCGACCATGTCACTCTCCAAAGGCTGTGCGTGACATGTTCAGCAGCGCTGCGCTCGACTGAGCTCCTCCATGATTGATCCAAACCCGGGCCCCAGGTGACGCCGGGCGGCTCCCTGCTCAACACCCTGGTCGGCCTGTCCCGACTGGGCGCTTCCGCCTCAACCGCGCGCCCCCTGCGCATCGCAATGGCCGGCTGCGTCGGCGGCGGCGACGGCCTGGGCGCGTATGTACGGCAGCAGCTGCGCGGCGCGGGCGTCGCCGTCATCACGCCCGACGGCGCGCCCGATGACGTCACGATGATGTCATCGTCCCCCGCCGCGGCCGCGCCCGCGGGCGGTGCGGCGGGCGGCGCGGCCAAGCCACAGGGGGTTGTCATCGGCGCGGACCCGCAGGCGCAGGCGCGGCCGGCGCCGAAGCGCCCTGGCGGCACCACCGGCACCGTGATGGTGTTCTGCACCCCTGACGCGCAGCGTTCCTTCCTGTCCTGCATACCCAACGACGACGCGGTGGCGCTGTCGCCGGAGCTGCTGCGCGCCGCGGCCCGCAGCCGGCTGCTGGTCATCGAGGGGTGAGCACCGCCCGGGCCGCCCGCAGCCACGCGTGCGCCCCCTGTGCGCGGCCCGCACTCTCCCTGCCCACCGGCGCCGGCAAATACTGGCATACCTGTTGCGGCCAGTGCGATTCACACACAAAGCAAATTGACACACACTCCACCCCTCACGCCCCCCCTTCCCAACCCTTCCTGTCCCCTCACCCCTCGCCTCCCTCCTCTCGCCTCCATTTCCCTGTCCCTCTCTCTGCCTGTCAACCCCACCTCCCTTTCCTACCTGCCTTGCCCCCCCAACCCTTGCCCCCAGCTACTTGCTGGACCTGCCTGGCGCCAGCGAGGCGCTGCCGGCGCTGGTGGACGCGGCCAGGGCGGCCGGCACGGTGGTCGCACTCACGATGGGGGACGCAGGCGTTGGTGAGCAGCTGCCACCGTGCCTGGCCCCATCACCATTGGATGTACAAGGGCACCGCCCGAGTGCAAGCAGGCGGGCCACATAGGCGGTGTGGCCTGCGCTTGACTGCTGCGCCCGATTTGTTTAGCCCGCAACCTCAGCATCCTGCCCTCTGAATTCTTCAAACCCCGCCCTGACGCCGAAACACGCAGTCCGCCGCAGCGCCGACACCCTGGCGGCCTGCCTGGCCCGCGGCGTGGACGTGCTCTTTGCCAACGCGGGAGAGGCCCTCGCCCTCGCCGCCGCCCCGCCGGTCCGCGCCCTGCTGGAGGCACAGCACGCGCAGCGCCAAGACCCAGAGGGCGCCGCGGCGGCAGCGGCGGCGGCCCCAGCAATGGACGGCCTTGATGCAGAGGGCTTGAGCGGGGCGGCGCTGCCGCCAGCGCGCAGCGCGGCTGAGGCTGCGGAGCAGCTGTCGCAGCTGTGCCCGTTGACTGTCGTTACGGACGGCAGCAGGTGCGGCGGGGCAGAGGCGCTTTTGTGGGCGGAGCTTGGCTGCTACTTTCTGACTGCAGCAGACGGCCACCGCCTGCCATGACCTAAACGAGCAGACCTGGATTGAGAAACGAAGGGGCGGCAGACTCAATGCGTGAAAAAGCACCCCGCCC